TCTTACCAGGCAGTAAACAAAGTTGAGAAGTCATCAGCCATCAATGAAAAATCGTTTTGTTATTTTTCCCCCTCTTCCTTCAACAAGAGATCAAGAAGCTCACTTACCCTTCTGTTCACTTTCAAATCCTACAACAACGCCTCGTGCCCCGTTCACCAGCCCCTGAGACACATCCAGATTCTTTGCCAGCATCACCTACAGAGAAAAAGAAAAATCCTTCAGTGCACTGGGTTTACAGCCTGTTCAGCCACCTGCAGTTAAGCTTCTTTCCAGGAAGCATAAGCACATCAGGCTGATATGACCATATCATCCTATCCTGCCTATTGCAGGAGAGAGCACCATCTCCAACTGAAATTATTTCACAGCCTTTCCTTCCTAGGATTCCTGTTGATGGAAGGGTATGGACAGATTGCTCCAGGATCAATATGATCAGGCAAAATGTCGGATTTATTAGGAGAAAGACAGATTATATAGTGCTCATGACGCTCAGCTTCTTGTTCACACAACATTGGTTACATAAGGAAAACATGCTCTGTTGTTCCCTTCTAATTGGACCACAACAGGTGGTCATAGGAGATGAGAAAACTTTATTCACCTGCCAAAAACTCTTCCCTGGCATCTGGCATGAATCCACCTTTGTTCTAACTTTAGCTCGAGTAGCCATCTTAGTGGCGCAGTAATTTTTACTATCTGCACCCAGCCATGCCAGGGGAGAAATCACAGAAATGCAACAGTTTCTGTGCTACGACAGATTCCCAGCTATTTTACAGCATTGAACACTTCACTTGAGCTGCTTCCATCCACAGCTATGAGCTGCCTATGCTCTCTGCTACTGAAAGCTTCTAAACCTGATTGGAAAAGTGTGTCAAAGTCACAGCAATCATCATTGTCCCCAAGACATGGACTGCACTCAAATCAAACTCATTTTCTGTTTCGATAAGATTCCAAGCAGAGAAAATATAAAAGATTGGAATAGAATCTTCTGTTGGCCTGGCATAGACATTCTATATTGAATCTGCATTCTGTGTATTAATCTACTCTATATATTTATCTGATATTCCTTTATTTTTCTTATACCATTTGATCTGCTGTTCTATTCCATGTGTATGTACACACACTTACCTGAGCTCCAAGCTTCAGCTCAACTCTACCACCCACAGGACACTGAGCATCAATTAACTTCACTAGCATTGGGTCACTATCCAAAGCCTCAAACGTGTGCACTTCTCCTGTTAAGGAAAGAAAGACATAACAAATTGCAGCTGTTGAACACATTATACACAGCATGACAGGAGGCTCAGCATTTATTCCTAATAGCAATTTCTCTTTTAATATCCATTCTGCTCTGCTGCTAGGACATCTTCACACAAACCTTGTCACATCTAACAACAGAGAGCTCACTACTGCCTCTCTTCCCAACAGAATTTGCAGAGCATGAAAAGGCACAGGAATCAAAGGCCAGCAGTAAATAAGAACTGAGCAGCCAGCATTTTGAGCATATGACTAGTTTCATTTGCTGCCAACATCAGATCACTAAAGGAAGTATCCAGAAAATATTGCCAGAAAGGGAGGCAAAAGTTGAGAAAGCCCTTAATAAGATGCAATAGAAAGAAAAAGCAGAGGTGTGGAGGCAATAAATGACCAACCCTGTTTCATAGCAATCAATGAGCTTGCTGTCTATTACATACCAAGAAGTGACAATGAATATTTAACCAAAAAACCGAAGTTTTTCCCCAGGCAGCTGAACTCCAACACACAGAGCTTTGACTGGTGCTGCTGTGCATGACAGAACACTAGTTCTTCCTGACACCACAGTATCCCCACTGCATCCACTCAGAGCTCAGCCCCAGAGCCAGCAGTTTCCTCCAGGGAGTTCACCTGATAGCTGTTGCAAGCGTCTCTCATTAGTTATTTCGACATCATCTTTATGGGTGCAGAGCCGTGTAGCCAGGATCCCATCACGCTCAGACCTGTTAGTAGCTGTCTGCATCAGCTGCCTGGTAACCTCCTCTGTGCACCTGGTAACCAGGAAAAGGGAGTTATTCTTTAAAGTGATCAGGAACAGGTCTTCACACAGCTGGATCTGTCTGTGAAAGCTGCAGGCCTCCAGAGAGGAGGACAGAGAAAGATATATAAAAGTTGGAGAACAGTGCCAGTGTGTGGGCCCTGGCCACTGCCAGCTCAGGATTCATTGAATTAACTCACAGAAATCAAGGAGGAACCCTAGAAAGTGTCCTTCCTTACCAGAGCAGGATATATGAAATCTGCCTATGTTAACTAAAGCTTTTATAGCTTTTGCCCCCAGCTTCATATACCTGATAGAGCTCAGAAAAGTGACAAACTGCTCTTTCTTCTGCTCCATAGGTGGGGAGCAGAGATTACAAAGAGATGAGCTTCTCCTCACCTGCCTAAACGTATTGCACTCAGGAGTGAGACAAAGGTCTTGTCAGTCTGTCGCCGCACTTCAGTCAGCTCCATGTTTATGTGGATACATTTCCTCCAGCTTTTTGCCTGCAAAAATCATTCTCTGGTTAAGAAAGAGACAGACTTGAAGTATGAGAATGAGTTCAGGGGCAGTTTTGTACCTGGAAGCAGAACTTGGTTTCTTCATTAGCCTTGCAAACTGGAGGTAGCTGCAAGAAGTCCCCACAGATGATTAGCTGAATTCCTACAAAAGGCTCATCCCGTTTTCTGACTGCCCTGAAAGAGATGGAAGAGAGAAGTTTTGAATGTCCTCCAGAACCTGGACATACTCAGATCTCAGAAGTTACTTGTTAATCTGTCAGGATATTCAAATATACACCACCTGCATTTAAAAGATGTTTATCCTCAGCTGAATCAGAAGAGCTCATACAATTAAGCAATGGTAAGACATTAAATTTGCCTTGCTTACCCACCCAGATGCCATTACCAGTCTTTCTTTGGTGGCTGTTATGCTACAGCTGCTTCTCTCTGCAAGAGAGAACTTCTGGGAACAGCTGTATTCTGGACTCAGCTCTATAGACAACACTTAGCTCAGGAGATGGAAAGAGCAACTAGAACAGCCACAGCTGTGAGTGAAGATGGGACACAATCAAAACCTATCTCATGATAAAGATCTGCCCAGATGCTATGATTCCATGCTTCCTTGCAGTCCTATGCCAGCAGCTGCCTTGTAACAATTCACAAAACCCGAGGAAGGAAGTAGCCTGGAAATTTAGGAAAATTCATTTCAGTTAGTTGTTTGACCTGACGTTTGCTTACCTTGCCACTGCCTCCAGCCTGTCAAAGAACTTTCCATCTACCACTGAGATCTCATCGATGATCAGGTGCTGGCAAGCCAGCCAGTGCTGGCGCACCCCCGGCCTCTCCGCCAGCTGAATGCACTGTTCCAGCGGTGCCTTCCCAGAGCCGATCCCTGGCAGGGGAGAAGAAAGCAAAGCTTTGGGAAGCTCCTGATTTATTGGGAAGGGAGTGAAAGCTCCCAGCCCCTCGCTGTCGGGCAGGCATTACCTGCAAAGGCATGGAGAGTGGTGCCACCGATGTGGCAAGCGGCCACTCCCGTGCTGGCTGTGGCATAGGTGACGTTCGGAGGGAGGGAGCCCACGATCCTCTTCAGCAGGAGGGACTTCCCAGTCCCTTCGAGGAGAGAGAAGCAACAGGTCAACAGCGAGGCCCCAGGGCTTTCCCCAGCGAGAGCCGCCGGGCGCCCTCACCTGCGCAGCCGGTGAAGAAGATGCTCTTCCCGCTCCGCACGGCTCCCAGCACCGCCTCCTGCTCCGCCGAGAGCCGCGCCGGGGGCCGCCTCTCTGCGCGGGGCACCGGCGGGACAGACAGACAGCGGTGCGCTGTGAGGGCAGCGCCCGAACCCGGGCCCGGTACCGGGGCCGGGGCCGCCCCTCGCCCCGGGACTCACCTCGGCGGGGCACTCCCCCCGCCCCTCCCCGCAGCCGCGGCGGGGGCCGGGGTTGCGCAGCAGGTCCCGCTGCTGTACCGGGCTGATCACGGCGAAGGACGCCGGCGGCCGCTCCAGCAGGCGCGGGGGGCGCGCCGGGCCCCGCGACCCGGCGACCACTTTGAGCCGCAGGAGGCGGAGGAAGCGGCGCAGCGCGTCCGGGGGGCAGTCGGAGAGCAGGACCTGCGCGCCGCCCGCCCCTCGGCCGCGAACCGCGTGAAGAGCCGCACGGCGTCCCCGCTCAGCGCGAAGCTCAGCACCGCGGCCACCGCCGCCCACCACCCGCAGCACGGGCTGGTGCAGCTCGTTGCGGCCCAGCAGCACGGTGGCGTCCCGCAGGACGCGGCGGCGCGGGCCGCAGCCCCCCGGCAGCGGCTCCTCCACGGCCGCCGTGCAGAGCCAACTGCGCCGCCTCCATCGCCCCGCCGGCCGTTTGAACGCGCCGCGTGCGCCGCCGCCAATCGGCGCCCGGGGGATTTAACCCGGCGGCCAATGGGAGGCGGGAAAGCGAGCCGGCCAATGGGCGGCCCCGCGGGCCCCACGTGAGGCGTTGCCAGGCAGCGGGACGCGGGGTCGGCGCGGCCATGGCCGCCCGCGGCGGGCAGCGGGAGCGGCCGGACGCGGTGCAGCTGGACCGGCTCCTGAGCGAGCGGGTGCACAAGGAGATGCGGCACCGGAGGCTCTACACGCAGTACACCGTGAACCCGCTCCAACCCGGTGAGGCGGGGGCGGGCCCGCAGCGCTCAGCTGCGCGGCGGGGATAGGCAGCTGCACCCAGGAATGGCAGCAGCGGCCAGGGACGGGGTAGACCTGGAAGGAGCAACCGGAGGGCCTTTATTTCGCCCGAGGAGCCGGTCTGCACACTCAGAGGCAGCAAGGAGACATGCCCCGGATAGCCTTTAGTAACCTTGGAGAAGTGAGGCAACTATTTAGGATGCGGAACCTACAAATCCTGAGCAAATACAGAGCCAAGATGGGGTAGAGAGCCCAATCACTACACCACGTTCCTTCAGCCCTTGGACCTTCTACCTGTCATTTCAGAGTCACAGAATATCACAGTCCGTGCTGGCACAGACAGGTGATGGGAGTATATTCATTCAGGTCTAGCTTTTGCAGTAAAACAAAAACCAAAGGAAAATAATTTCCTGAGACTTGGCACTCACAGGCCACCACTTGGGTTGGGGTGGGACTTTGGTGTGGTGAACACAGGCAGCTTTAGGTAGAAGGGCCTTCAGCATGCTTAAGCCCCTTGCCTTCCTAGGAAATTGCCATTAATCAGTATTTCTAACTCATTTTCTGCTATTCACGTGCCGTTCTTCCTTTACAGCTTCAGTGAAGTAGCTGGATCCACACTGGGGAATAACCAAAAAGAACATCTGCAATGATACATATTCTGTACCTGGCTGTGATGCTAAATTCATGTTATTCACCTGTATCATTTCTTTCCAGTTTACACAGTCACCAGGAAGCTTCAGTCTTCCCCTGTTGGAAGAGGTCACTTAAGACTTTCGAGGGGCCAGATTGCCAAAGCCCGGCCGGTCCATTCCCATGAGGAAAGGTAGCTTGGTCTTGGACAGGATACTGGGGGGGAGACCCAAAATAAAAGTTTAATTTAAAAAAACTGCCTACAATAGAAAGCAATTCAAACATAGGGCAGACAAGACTCGTGTAAATCTGAATACATTTGACTTCAAAGGATAATTATTTCCCTCTGCACCTAACAGAATGTCATTTTCACCCAGGTCCTGCTTACCACTGTCGACAAAATGTGCTGACAAAATTTTTCATGATGCCAGTGGAGAGATATTAGAGCACACTGCACAGGGAAGCTGAGCCTGCCCCATCCCTGGAAGTGTTCCAGGCCAGGCTGGATGGGACTTGGAGCATCCAGCCGGGGATGAGAGCGGAAGGTGTCCCTGCCCACAGAAGACAGGGTGGCCTTTGAAGGTCCCCTTCAAACCAAATCACTCTGTGATTCCCCTCCAAAATAACTACCCAACAGACACAGCAAGCAAAGCAGAAGGACTGCGCTCCCAGCTTTTCTTACCTGCAGGCACACAGCACATTGAACATAAAAGCCACAGGGTTAGTCATGTGAGAGGTGTCCAGCATACCCACGGCGACCGAAGGAAAACAGGGAGCCTGGGAACACGGAGTAAAAGACACTTTAATTAGGACTACATTGAGCACTAGCCAGGTCATTCACGCAGCTTCGCTGTCCAGTCATACAAAAAGCACACACCGAGGCCTCAGTTAGGATGGCTCCTGATGCTGACCAGGTGAATACCTCCATTTGCCCCGGGGGTCAAGAATAACATCCCTGGGAAGAAGTAACCCCGAATAACAAAAAGGCAAAATTAGTGAAGCACGGGGTCCTCTTCTGACTAGATTACCACCAGCATTCCATAGCAAATGCCACGACTATTCTGTTACAGACGAGAAAACCCTGTTCTCCCAAACAAACAGCCAGGAGATTTATGGGCACGCCTGAAAATCTCCTGTGAGAAATTTGTAACTAAGAAGTATGTGCTATCTTGAGTTGAAGGCAGCAATTTGACAGATGCTTAGTACAGCAAACTCTTCAGAAGAGGAATTAATTGCTGCCTATTTGAACAGCAGGTGAGAGAAAATGACAGTCTAATAGAAGACAAGAAAAGCAGAACTGGAATCAGCAGCCTTTTCTTCCATCTCTCCCGAGAAAGTCTAGTTTACCTGTTCTAATTCTGTGCCCTTTTCTACATTAAACTTAGACCAAGGCTGAAAAAACAACTAGAAAACACGGAGAGAAGCTTTTTAGAATTTCATGTGATTTTCCCAAACCGATCCCAGAAAAGCAGAACTCGGTAGAATGTACTCACCTCGAGGCCTTTGGTCTTTTTTTCCATAAGCTTCATCACCTGATTGAAAAAGCAGAGTAGACTCGGTATTTAGGCTCACAACAGGAAAACTGCCCCTTCATTTCCTAAAAGAAACTACATTAATCTGCACAGCTGCAGGCGCGTCTCCAGATGTTAAAGCCTTTCAGCTTTTCAGAGGGTGAGAATGCCCTGCTAAGGAAGGCTGAAAAATGGCACAGGTCAAAGAGCCCCTTGATTTTGTCTGTGTTCCAGTCCCTGGCTAAAGAAAGGGCAGAACCACCGCAGGTGTTGCTTGCCTTTTCCCTACGAGGTTTTGCCAGGCGCTGGGCCAGCCCGGGCACTGCGGGGGAAGGCCGGCAGTGGCCAAAGCCCGCCGCTTTCCCAGGGCAAGCGTCGCTTGCGAGAGCGCCCCCGAGCGCCGGGCCCTGCCTCACAGTCGCCGCCTGGCGGACACGGCCGGGAGCGGCACTGCAGCCGCGCGCGGCGCTGCAGCCGCGCGCCCCCCCCCCCTTGGCGAGACCCGCGGCGCCTTTCGCGCGTCCGGGCCTTTCTTCCCTAAAACCTGCCCTTGCCTAGGAAAAGCTGAGCAGTTCACAGAGTTGCTGTTTCCAGCCCAGCTTCCCAAAGGATTTCTCTCTCCCGGCAGCACAGACAGGGTCCCCGAGGCAGCGCAGACCCTCCCCGCGGGGGGGTGTGGTGCGTGTGCAATGCCAGGGCACATCCGAACCCGGCCCTGCGGCGGCACGCAGGTGCGAGTTTCTCCGCAGAGGCGAGAAACTTGCCTGTCGCTTCCCCGGCCTGCAGTCCCCGATGGCCGCGGGAGAGGCAGAAGAGCGGCCGCGCCCACCCGCCGCGCCCAGCTTACCCCCGGGGACGATCTCCGTCGGATCTGCCGCCGTGGGTCGCTTCCGGGGGGGGGGGAAGGCGGCGGCGCAGCCCCGATAGCATCTCCAGGGCACGGCGGGAGCGGGGGCGGGAGCGGGAGCGGAGCGGAGCGGAGCGGAACGGGGCGGGCGCGCGCGCCTGGGGTCCACCACCACCCCCCACCCCGGCCGGTCGCCGCCCCTGCCCTGCCCGGCGGCCCCGAGAGCTTCAGGCCCGGCCCGGCCAACGCCTCGCTCTGCGCAGGCGCCGCTTCTCAGCCCGCCCCGACCGCCGGGCCCTGCCTCGCAGTCGCCGCCTGGCGGACACGGCCGGGAGCGGCACTGCAGCCGCGCGCCCCCCCACACTCACCCCCAAGGACCTCAAGGACTCCCGGAGCGCAGATTGGCAAAAATAAACGTCCTGCAAGACCGACGTCGCCTTTCAGAAGTATTTCCTTCATTTTTAAGAACGATAAAGTGCCAAATCAACAATAAACGTTATTTCATCCCTTTGCCAATAATAACCGTGCAGCTTGCCTTCCTTTCTGAGCTGACAGCAGACAGCTTGGATGCCCTGATGGAAACATTAGACAACACTCTCCAACGTTTCTTATAACCTCCTTAATCTTTCCTGTGGTAAAACCCACCCTTGTCATTTGACCGAGAAATACCAAGGCAAATCAAAGAAACCCCACCACCTGACACAGGTCACAAGTTACGAGAGAGACTCCAAGCCATGGGAGGAAAGCTAACAAACAGGTGAAGTTTCAAGGTTTATTGGATTCAGTTATTGTCACACAGCCAGGACAGTTTTGTCTCAGTGATAAATATATGAAAGTATCAATTAAAAGAGAGTGAAGAACAAAGAATTAGGCAATGGGACAAAATAAGTAAAAAAACTCAAGTACTGCAAAACACTGAAGATCTTTACTGGGTCACAAGTAAGTAGATATCACTGATCTTCTGGGTTTTTTACTGTTTGTGGGAAGAGAGGGAAGTTAGGAGTAAGGTCAGTGAAGGCTGAAAAGCACAATAGAAATTTTTAAGTAGTGGTTTTAAGGGTGAGACAAGCTTTGGGGCTTTGTTGTTTTGGTTTGGTTTGGTTTTTTTCCTTAAATTTTTAGACGATTTTTAATGCTACACTTCAGTATTAGATTGCGGAAGATCCAGGGTTTTGCAGCTCATTGTACGGCAGGATCGTGCTAAGCTTGGGCAAATATGACTGAAGCTGATGTCAGTTATAGGGAATACTTCAGAGTTAGTTCTTAGGAAGCTATGAATGTGTATTAGCTTTGTGACTACTGTTCTAAGTAATGTTACAGCTGGGATTAGGATTAAGGAACTGAAAAAAGCATCTGGATGAACAGAAATTATTGAGGGATGTTTCAAAATCTGAACAATTCAGATTGCTAAACAAAATGAACAGAAGCCAAAATTATTTGTTTTGTCTTGGAATAACTATGGTACAAGGAAAGATTAGGGTAGTTGTTAGATTTTGTGGTTTATCTGTATTTGAAGACATTACCTATGGAAAAAAAAAATCATGCTTCCTTTATTTAACCAATCTCAGGTTCTGAGCTCTGTGAGGTCTGGGATAGACATTCTTCTCTGAATCCAGCTATGCCAATGGATTACATTTTTTCTCAAAACTGTTTTCATTCCCATGCAGTAGGTTACCTCCTTTGCTAGCAGTGTACAGCCTATGTGGGCATTCCTGAGAGAGTTGGATTAAGGAGTGCTCACCAGTCTGATGACTGGTAGATATAATCTCCTAATGACAAAGCAGGACTCTTGAGAAGACAGCTATCCTCTGCTTTAAGTTGGAGAGGGAATCATATTTATTGCTACTTTCAATTTAACTTTAGAAGGCAAAACTGAGAAGTTTGGCTATGTTAAAACCTGTTGTACTATCTCCTTTTCCTTTCTGTTTTCTAAAGCTGATTAGAAGGGATCTTTCTTTCTGCATATTTATGTCCACAAAGTTTCTGTAAAGGTATAACAGAATTGTGGCTAATTGCATCCTGTAAAATTAAGACAGCTGAGTCTTACCATTTGGGATATGGCTGCTTCTTGGTAGCATAAGCAAATAACAGATGTGCAGGAAGAAAGCATGACATGAAACAAACATTTATTAAAATGGACTGTACAGACAAATTAAACAGTTACTCCCACAAGGCACAGGAGTAAAATATTTAAAACACAGAAGCCAATGAAAACACCAGATATTGCTAAAACATATAAATTCTAAAATGTAAACCTATGCTGGAGAAATTTGAAAACTGCAAAATAAAGGAATAAAGCACTTACTTAAAGTGCTAGTGAAGTCTTACTTTTTTTTAATAGCATGCTGTTTAGATAATACATCCATGTCTATTCTTTCAAATTTAGTTTCTGTAACTTGAAGCCACTGTCAGGTTAGGTCAGGTCCTGTTTAGAAAGTGAAAGTGGAATTCAGGAAGTGCAAGTATTAAAATTTGCCTTATATTTTCTCTATAGTTAGTGGGGTCCTTGGCACCAAAGTTTAAAAAACTGATGTATCCAGCTTGGGTATGAAAATTTCCGTAACAAAGTATTTAGACACAGTACAGCATTCACATCCTATTACCATGAGCTCAAAGTGGTGGCAGGGTGAAAGCCTTGGGGTTTTTTTGGGTTTTATTTTGTTGTTTTGTTTGGGGGGTTTTTGTGGGGTCTGATTGCAGAACAACAGGACTATCATTTCATAATTATTCCTCTAGTCTCTGGAGAAATTTGCCTGGGAGAAAAGAGCCCAGGGCTGTCACAAGAAGAGCTCTTCACTTAAACTTATGTCATTATTCTGTGAGAGAAAAGAATACTCCTGCCTTATGAAAGACACTACCTCCCTCCCTGCTCCCACCCCCATGATCCCTTAATACATAATACATATTCTGTCTCCTTGAAATAGTTAGGGTCATCTCACATTTGAAGGGACCCATAAGGATCATCAAGTCCAATCCCCCACTCCTTGCAGGACTACCTGGCATTAAACTCTATGATTAAGAGTGTCATCCATGTGCTCCTTGAACTCTGACAGGCTTGGTGCCTTGACCACTTCCCTGGGTTGCTGTACCAGGGACCAACCACTCTCCTAAAGAAGAGCCTTTTCCTAATGTCCAATCTGAACTTCCCCTAATGCAGCTTCACTCTATTTCCTCATGTCCTGTGGCTGGTCATCAGAAGGTGGAGATCAGCACCTCCCCCTCTGCTTCCCCCTTGAGGAACCTGTAGGCCTTGATGAGGACACCCCCCAGCCTTCTCTGCTCAAAACTGAACCAGCCAAGTGACTTGAGCCGCTCCTCAGAGGTCTTGTCCTTGAGACCTTTTGCAATCTTGGTCACCCTCCTCCTCTGGAACACTATAATAGTCTGATGTTCTTCTTGCACTGAGGCATCCAAAACTGCACACAGCACTCAAGGCCTCACCAGTGTAGCGTAGAGTGAGACAATCAGCTCTCTCGACCAGCTGGCGATGCTGGCCTGATGCACCCCAGGACGCAGCTGGCCCTTCTGGCTGCCAGGGCACTGCTGACTCATCTTCAGTTATGCTCGTTTTCAGCAATGCATGCTATTCATATGGCAGAACTTTGTAAAGGATGTGCAAACAAATCTGTAAATACTAGTACATGATTGATGCAAACACAGTACTTTTTTAAAAAAAAAAACCCTAACCTTCTTAAACACAAGAGCACAAGAGACTAGTTTAAAAAAGTAAAAATACAAAACTGTTGTACTAAATCAGTTAAGTGGTGCATCCTTAAGCATACTTCAGTTTAGAGATCCCCCAAGAAAGAAAGAACCTGGAAAATTAACAGTGAAGTGAGAGCAACCATGACTAACCCTATCTATTTCAGAACTCTAAGTTGAAATTACTACAAATCAATCCTTCTATTCACACTACTTCATTGCAGACCATTTGCCTGCTCCATTGTCACTACTTCTTAAATTTATGTACAACTACCATCAAAGTATGCTGCTCTCATGCATGTACTTTGGGGGAGTCCACGTACTTTTATCTTAGTGTACGTTTTCCCTTCAACTTGCTAGGAACTGCTCTGAACAGGGCACACAGCATGTGACCACTGACACTCAACAGCAGAATCTACTATCTGTGCTACAAGATATGCATAATGCATTATACTGCCATTTGGAGCATGGAGTCAGACTATCTTCCATTATTGCTATCTCAGAGAGACCAAATCCCAGTAATTCAGCTAGCAGAATCTGCTCTTCACATAATTTCAGGGGCACACGGTCCACATTCTGTCTCTGCTGTTGACAGATGTTCATATGGCTATGAAACATTAAAATGAGAGAATACCTCATGAACTTGGCATAAGTTACAGGACTATATTCAATAAATCACTCCTGTACTTTGTGGCAGACTTGGGAAATTAATGATGGCATATGTGATTTGGCCAGCAAAAATGCATTATGTGGATTTATTACAGTTGCCAGTGCCCTGTTTTTCCTGTTTAACAAGCCAAATTTTCAATATAACCACTCTAGCATAATAGTAGAGAAGAACTTGAGCTAAAGAGAGAAGAATGTGAACAAGCAGTTCCTGCTTCCTGAAGTTAGTGAAAAGAATATTTAATACTCAAGATTTAGACAACGAAGGCAGTGACAAAACTGGGATTGGAAATGAGTAAATTTTAAGCCCTGTTTCTGTAAGGGGGTCACTGTCATCCTCCCCAGTTCCCCTGGAGGAACTGTTGTTACATTGGGTGAAACAAAGTGAAGACATGGATCCAGGGAGGGGTCTACTCTGGATGCCTTAGTCAGGGTTCTTTTGGCACACATAGAGCAGGAAAAACACTGGCTTGAAGTAAAGCTTACTTGCAAATGACTATTAAAAGACACAAAAATAGAAAGTTTTGGTTAAGGGAGGATGACGACACCAAAGCCCAGTGGTTCTGGTGAAATACATAATTTTTAGTTGACACTGTTCCTCGTGCATGTTACTGAACTTTCCTATGCTCCTGTGGAGGATAAGTCTGCCAGAGGAGATTTTGGCTGTAGAAGCCAGGAAGACAGCAGAATGGCTGATGCTGCAGTCTGTGCACACAGAGATCTGGGATATTTCATGCATGTTCCCTAGAGAACCACAATGTGCAGGTTGGCCATAGAGCCCAGGAGGACCTCTAATACAGTTCACTTGAGCCTTGTTCTTAAGTCAGTCGGTCTTTTGACTGCTGAAAATAATAAACTATTAAGATGCTGAAGCACAACAAATCACATAATTTTTCGAAATTCATACATAGCCATCAACTTTCCAAGTTTCAAGTCAAGTTTCAGGGATTGGTACAATCAAACTCCAGTAAATCAAAATTCATGTGTGTCCTTAATGCACTGATTTTCTGTATAACCTATCTTGTTTTCCCTAAACCTTTCCTGTATAAAAGAGTTCTACTGGCTACACAAACCTATGCAGTCTTACCAGCCTGGAAAACAAATTGTTTGTTTTTCAGTGAAACAAACAGACTGCCATTTCAGCACTTCAAATAGTCTCCTGTTATCAGGAGAAAACAGAAAAAAAATTTTAGTAACATCTGGTTTTTAAAGAGAGAACATAAAAGCATTTGTGGTCATCACATTTGGCCAATAGAAATAGCCTGACTTGCACAAAGAATTTCAGTTTGTTTAGGAGTCCAAAAGATGGAACAACTGAAATGTTAAACTGTAGCACCAGTAATACTTACTTTCCTAAAACCAAACCCTAAGGACCGGAAGGAACTTAAGACAGAACAGGAACATTGTGCTTATATTGCATTAAATAGAAGACAATAAGACGGTCACACTTGAATCTGCACTTCAGTAAAGTCTGGGCACGTTTGCAGTTCTACTGGAAGATTACTGGAACAGGTCACACAGCTTGGCAATCTTCTCCATTTCATTCGTCCTGTTTCCTCTTGGGCTTTTTGGGATTCCGGGATCGACTCTTTGCTTTGCAGAGTGGACATATGGGCGCATTCCGATGAATTTGTTGGTGGCACGATAAACATGCCTGAAATGCAACATTGTAGGCTCTTGTTACAAACATTTAAGCGGCGTTGTTACATGAGTTATTGAGTACCATATTCTAAGTTACAGTACAGGCAAAAATAAGTCTTCTTGCCTTCAAAGGCAAACCACTGCTACATTCTATACAATCTATGTATCTGGATTGTACAGTAATTTCAGGCCAAATGAAAAATTGGAGTATTTAATTGAATTAAAACTACAATTCTGCAGACATGTGGTTCATACATCTATCAGTAAATTCTATTTTGTGTTAAATGTTCCAATGAGGTGTTTACATGCGTAATAGCTCATTGAGCCAGAGAAGTTCCAGTGAAGGTTAATTGTGATGTCATAGAATTTCAGGCAGGAGCAAGTGGTAAGATGAATTCCACCTATTTAACACAAGGTACAGAACTCTGCCTTTTTGCTTCATACTAAGCCCTTTAATTTCCATTTGACTGAAGCATACTACTTGCAGAAAAGCTTTTCAATTGCCTAGCTACAGATAGTAAGTATATAACTATGGAACGTATCTACATCACTTTGCCTACTTAGTCAGTGACTCTTTGAAACCTTGGCAGGATGAGTACCTCTATGGAATTACTTAGCTCTTCTTACTACAGAAGGAGCAGAGTAAAACTGTCACTTAAGTGCCTGTGGTTAGTTTAAGTTAATATCAGTGTTAGTCTTGAAGATCCAAAGTGCAGAAACAATCAATCATCTTTTCTGGTAATATATACCATCAGTAATTTCCCTCATAAAATATGTGCATTGCTTCTAATATGACTCTGTATGGCATTAACTAACAGCTACTTGTTTTCCTCTTGCCAAGCTTTTTTTTTCTTTCTTACATGACTTTCTCCCACGTGAAACACAAGAGGAGTGGGAATTGCCTAACATCTCTGCTGATGGAGACTCCTAAGTCATAAAAGATTCTTGTCCTTAACCCTGGATGACTGATGCTACTACTTTAAGTCTAATGGTTGTTCTTGATTTGAACCACTGCAGGGGGAATCAGAATCAGAACACATAATTTTTCCTTTTTGCAAATACCAATCAACTTCATAAACATAATGTGTTCCAATGGCAAAACAGAAAACCCAGCACATTTGTCTCCTAACCTTCATTGGAGGTGGCTGTTGTCTGAAAGTTGCTGTCTGTCTGGTATCTTGTTTTCTAGCCACTTGCAGCTGTTGGGCAGCTGCTGCAGCTGCAGCCAGAGACTCTGGGATGGGAGGCTCCTGTGGCTCTGTCTGCCATTCTGCCTTCTGCTTTTCAAAGTAGCTATACGGAAGAATAACAAAGAAAAAATGTAACCACCTTCTGAGGTATTTCATTAGTCTCTAAAGGATATTTTGTGTTAAAATACAATGGATCACATTTCCCTATGATGTTCCTCCGGAGTCAAATTGCCTACACTTAGGACTAGTTCATAAATAGAGTCGGTAGTATTTTTCTCTGCATTTGTACACTTCAGCCAGATTCCAGATTGTCAGCTTCTAAGGTATCTTGACGTATAACTCGATATAAATCTAATCCAATCAAAAATAGACAACACATATATTTAACAGCTTCAGATGCAAATCTGTCAAAGAGTTTTTCTGTTTAATTCTGTTAAAATGAATAACTTTTGTAGGCAGTAAATAAATAGATTCTTTGTAGTGTCAAGGTGTTTGGAATGTAAAACAACATTTCTAAAGAAATAAAAAGGAAATCTTGAAAACTGCGTGCCTGTGAAAATTATTTTAATTATGCTGGGCATTAAGAGAAATATAAGCTTCTTAAAACATCCCTTGCATTTAAAACTGATCTGTTAAACAAAGGACATTGTTCTTTGAACAGTAGCTAATTCTGTCACTCTCCCCCACCTAGTTTATACTTTTCCACAGCTTGGATAAACTTACTTGTTGACAGTCTTAGGGTTAGGGTTAAATGCCACTGCCCTGAGCAGGCAGCAAAAAGTAAAATTTTGACTAGCAGCAGCACAAACTAACTGAAGAATACTTGGTTTTTATCCTTCTCTTGTATTGCCTCCTACTATTGCTTGCTAAACAAGTAATTTTCAGGGGAAAAAAAAAAGTTGCTAGAAAATGCAACATGTAGTATAAAAATCTAGACAGCCAACCACCCCTGAATTTGTTCATGTCATATGTAGACTTTGCAGCTTGAAATAATCTAAATTTACCTTGCAACAAGTTCAGACTGAATGTTATCAAATACATGTCTTCGCACATTCCTTTTTTGTTAACTCTTTTGTTTTTCATGCTTACCTCTTGAGTTCTTTTTTCCACCTACCAACAAAAGTAAAATGAGAAAATGTCCAGTAGAATTGAGAGAAAGCATAAAGCCAGATAATGTTTACTTTGGAGACTTACTCAAGGGACAGTTTCTCCTCCTCCTCACATAGATCTGGCAGCCTCTGCAATCCCAGAGTCATTCGCAAAGCATCTACGTGCTCCTTTAGGGGCTTGTATTCCTCATGCAGGCGACGAGTAGATTCCAAGAGCTTGTTAAGATCATTCTCAGACTGCTTGATAGTATTCTCCATCTGAAACAGGAGGATGGGCATGCTTGTAAAGAACTGTCCCTCTCTGAGCAAGAGACTATCAGAAAGAAGAGATTTTTTTTAACGCAAGCTGGAAGAGATCGGAGACAATGCAATAGTAGAGCAAACAGTTAAGGTATTGGGAGGACGAAAATTGGGCAAGGAAGAAGCAACAGAAAGTGACATACGAGATGCATTTTCATTTAAAAAAGATGCACTCAACCTATATGACCTTCTGAACAAAGAAGCAGCAGGTAGACAGGCTACAGATAAAGTCAGCAAGTGAGGACTGACAGAAAACTCTCAGCAGACATTAAAAAAGAAATTAAGGTAGAACAAAACTAATTTTCTGTGTTTTTAAGATATCTGAACACCAACTGTCAGAAGTTAACAAACAAACAAGGAAAGGTTCCTGTTTTTCTTACTGCAGTAAATGGGAAAAGCAGCAGAGAAAAAGACAATCTGACTGGAAAAAGAAGGGAGGATGAAACAGAGGTTGAGATTATGCAACTGGATAGAGGAATGGACATTTCAAGAGATAAAGAAATGCAGTCTGCACATCCAGTATATAGCTTGTACTTGTTTACAATGTGGGAGCTGTTTTGCTCTGGTGCAAAGCAGAGATATCTTCAGAGCTAGAAAGCACTAAGCAATCATGCAAGTGACCTAACATGACATAAAAAATGCACATTCAAAAAGATATTCCCTATTTAGCCCCTCTAATTGGCTCATCTTCCCTGTTTATAAATTGTTTTTCTCTTCTTTGTAGTAATTCCCTTCAGGCTGGTGCTTCTTGTTGTTTGGTGGTTCCACTCAGTGATGAAGGTCAGTTCTTACTAAGAACTTAACAAATACCATGCATTTTCTCAAAATCTTTCTTCCCAAAACCTCCAGTCAAAAGTCCCACCTAGCTGCTAAAGTTTCTCTGTTTCTGGGTGCTCAATGAGAAAAGCCTTACAGGAAGAACAGTTTTCTGTGGGACTGCTGGAGTGATGTTATTGTGGATACTGGTAAAGTCATAGCCACAATAGGCTTGGTTATCTTTCCTCTTGGTGCAAGTGCTTACTATGCCAACATTACAAAATATCCTGCCCAATACAGGAAAAAACAATTACCCTGCAGTAAATTTACTTTGCACTCTGTAGGATCCTAGGATGATGTTGTAAAGTCCAGATTATTGAACCAGTGATAGTTCACTGATGTGCACAATTCCACAGCCTGTGGAATGATTCATATGCCACTGTGTCTTAGTCAGACTGTCTGCAGCTGGACTGTTGCATACCACATTAATATCAGCGTGGATCAGTCGCAGCTCCTCCACATGGGCCATCTTCTCTTGCAGCAGCAGGTCCATTTCCTGTTTATATTCCTTCAGGTGCCTCTCCTCAGACTCCAGGGCTTCAAATTCTGCTTTCAGTCGTGCCTTTATCTTTTCCATCTGCAAAGTCTTATTCCTGAATCCCAGTGGTAATTAAAAATAGAGAGACAACAGTAAGTCACTGAAATATATTTTGTGAGGTGTCACTTTAGATATGATTAGATAGATGGAAGAAGGCAATAGCAGCAACAGACAAGGGTGAAACTAAATATGTCTGAGAAAGGTGAGGTACAACAAGAGTACTGAATTCTAATCCCAGCTCTTTTGCTGAGCTTTTCAATGCTATGAGAATTCTTGTACTGAATTATGAAATTAATAGAACGTTGTCAGATTTTAACAGTTACTGTAGATTCAGAGAGTCTGTACCAATAGAATTCTACTGCATCAGTTGACCCTAGTTCCAAAATAGAGAAATGCAGAAAATCTAGGTTTAGCACAGGATTCTGAGAAATGTAAAACGAACTGTAGATAGAATTCAAGTATGTTGCTACAACATTGTATTATTTAATGTCATTGGAGTTGCTGTGTCATTTACTACACAATGACATATACGAGTCTGAATGTAAATATTGAACTTAAACCAGTAAAAAGAGATCTTCTCTACCCTCCACTTTACATGTGGCAGTATCCCACTAACCTAACATCTACTCCTCTTTTCATCAAATCTCATTGTTCTCATTTATTTAAAACACTTATTTAGTAACGGCAGCTTTGATTACTGAAACTGGGAGTATTTGTCCTCAATTTATTTCCTGTTTCCTCTCCTGTATTTATTACATGTGTTCACCTAAAGACAATGGAAATAGATCTATTTCCTCACTGTTACTAGTCACTGGTGCCATGCTCTGCCAGATTGCTACAACAAATGAGTTGCAGGGGCTTGTTTCAGTCCAAATTATTAGCTTTTGACATTAGGAAAGAAAAAGTGCACACAAATTACAACTCTTCCTGTTAGCATCAGGCAAGATGCAGTAATTTTAAAAACAGGAATCATAAGTGTGATCTCTAGACTGCCTAATGAATTTTGCCCTCATATTTTTTCCCTTCTATTTAAGTTCTTATACTGCATTAATGACAGTAGTCACTAAGTGTGTCCCAATAGGGCATTAAACAGTGAAACTAGCATCTCCCATTGATATATTCATTCTCATTCTCTTTTAGCTCCTCCCAGCCAGAACACTGAGTCTTTAGGTATTTGTTTAATTTTATGACTGGGGTTATTTCTGTGGAAGTATTTAATGCATAAAAATAAGCATGTGCATATATGTTTGGATTGTGGGCATGAAACACATTTACTGAAAACAGTATTCCCTTGACTACAAATTATATGTATTTATCTACAGATACAGATATAGATATAAGTCTTCAAAATCAGATCTCAGATTCAAAATCAGATTCCTGAATCCCTTCAAAAACCCAGCTAAGCTGCCTTTAATAAGAGGCAGAGATCAATGTGCCTAGGAATGGACGACTTTGATTTTGATTGTAAAGACTTTTTTTCCTCTGTATGTAGAATACATGGAAAGCAGAACAAAATAGTCTGCTAAATCTATCAAAGGTGAGTTGGTAAACATAAGAAATTCTCATGTTTATTCTGAAGAAAATTCTTCGCAGAACGTAAGCTCCTTTTAAAAGATTTGGGGATGAATAAATAGGTTACTTGGATCAGATTTTGTTAAAGGTGACTCAAAATAGACATCAATATTGCAAGTAGGCTTGACCTTCTGATGTTGATTTTTTTTTTATTTAACATCCATTCAAGCAACTTTCTTGATACTTCCATGTACACTTAAGCTAGTAACATCACCTTTACACTACCTTATGCCACAAAGTAATAACAAAAATCTGTTAACTGCAGTTTACATATCACCTTTGAATATACTATCAGAAAACTGAGTGCACTGTGAATTTCCAAATACAGGATACCACTCTGAAAAAAATAATTTAAATGAAGTGTTACAATAATTGGACCACAAACTGTAGCAGGCCATACCTAGATCAGTATTTTAAAACAGAGCCTGCCTAACAGTTGAGTAGAAAAGCATTCTTCTTAGACTGTAAAGTATTTGTTGTCTTTCTACAAATAGTTTGGGGATTCTAGACAAATATTTTTGCCTGATCTTTGTTCACCTTTGTGGTATTGCGTAAAGAAGGCTGAGGCCTACCCTTTAATTCACTTTTTCCATGAGTAAAGTGTGCTTCTTAGAGATGCTGTTACCAGCCAGAAGTCTCTGTGACCACCTGCACATACTGCCAGTGGTAACGCCTTCATCCCCAGCCCTCTCTCCTCTCTCCCTGATAGCCCCTCTCCAGTCATAATGTCCTAAAACACTTCTCATCGCCCCAAGGTTACCCACAGTCTTCCACCCCCCAGCTGCTTTCAAAATCACTGTCCTCTGTAGTGTGTTTTGGCTTTTGGATGCATGAATTTCTACTAAATATCGGCAACTCAGGCCTAATCCTCAAAATCTGTGCCCTTAGCCAAAGAGTGGCAATGCCCTACCTAAAGCTATGAAAAATGTCCCCGATGTGGGAACGTGTGGTACCATGCCTGGCTGTTTAGGAGCCCCCTCTTCCACAGCATGCTGTGACTCCCCCTGCGAACGACGCTATATACAAATTCCCGGTGTATCGCCTTGCACGAACCGCAGAGCGAGGCAACTCCGGCCCAGTGGCAGGAGGGAACGGCAGAAAGGCCTCGGTCCGCTGCGTCCCCATCCCCAGCGCCCGGGGCGGCGGCCAAAAGCAGCAGGTAGGGAGATCTCCCGGCCGCCTCCACGCCCTCGGGCGAGCGGGAGCGCAAGGCAGGGCAGAGAGAAGCCGCCAAGGTTCAGCTGCTCCCTGTCGTCTCCCGCACGGATCCCTCGCACGGATGCCCGGCGGGCAGAGCTGGCCCTGGCATCGCCCGCCGGGGGGATGAGCGGCTGCCCCGCTCGGGGGGCTCCGCCGGTGGCCGCAGTGCTGCCCGGCCCGGCCCTGCCCAAAGGCACGTCCGCCCTCGGCTTTCCGTGCCATGCCCTCCCTACCTTTCGCAGCCCGTCAAGGCTCCTGCCCGGGCGTCCGGGCAAAATAAGAGATTCAAGACAGAGCCTCAGAAATATTAAATAATAAGTCAAAGAACTTAAAAACAAACAAATCACCACAACACCCGCGACCCCCCAGCTGCGTTAGGGCTGCTCCGTCCTTCCCATCACTCCGCCTCCTTATCACTCAGGGAAATTTCTCTGGAAATGCACGACCGTTACCGTCCTTCACTACGCATTCCAGCGTTAATCACCAGCAGCAGATGCTCCTTCCCTGCTTAGAAAAATGTATTTTGAGCTTTCATCGTAAACCCAGCGGTAGTTTTCTTTCCCCCAGTAGCACAATAGCTAGTTTCAGATTGATGCATGTCCTCCGCTCCCCCGAGGAAAAAGCTGCTTCATGTAACTGATGAGGCACAAAGCAAACATACCTGATCTCCTTAATGCTCTCGAGTTTGCACATTATTTCTTGCTCATCTGCCATGCTTTTCACTCCCGATTTAAATCTCTTATGAAACGTAAAAAATGCCAAGGGAAAATTAAAAAAAAAAAAATTAAAAAAAGAAGAAAAAACATACAATAGACACAATGTGGTCACCCCCTCCTCGCATATGCGCTCTGAGCCTGTGCAGGAGACTCTAGTGGGAGATATGGGAATTAGAGTCCAGCTTCCTATTGCTGCCGAGGCAAAGAGCCTGCAGAGAGACTACAACACCCACAAGGCAGAGCAGAGCTTGCCTGCCCTTCTTCCTGCAACTACATTTTAAATCGATTTGTCAAACTTCATTATGTTAAAGGTTGTTAGGAGTGCAAAAAGAGGAGAAGGCTTCCTTCTGAGATCTGTGCAATGTTTAGTTTTTCATTAAAATAGGCACTAAAAGACTGTTGAATGGGTTCATGATTTTGATTAAAAACTTGGACGCAAAGGTAAGCTGTAGTCATAATTACTATCATGCTGTTTTGTATTGGACACTCTCAGTGATGCAACTGTTTGGAGTTCAGAAAGTACAGATTTTGTTCTTTAGGTTTTCTTTCTTTTTCTGCAACTGTACATAGTACTTGTAATTATAAAAAAAAAAAAAACAAAAACAAAAACAACCCCAATCCAAATCAAAACAAAATGGAAAAAAAACCTAAACAGAGCTAATGCAAATAAAACTCTTAGATTGCAGAAAGTGACTATTTGTCTTTCTACAGTCTACAGACATTCTAGCCAAGAATAACAGAGCACTTTATAAAGCTTGCTGAATAGACCTTCAGTCTTTCCTTAGCCAGGTAATTATTCCTCTTTGCCTTCTGTAACGTACTAAGCACTGCGTTTTAAATTATGAAGGTAACAGTTGTATCTCTACGCTTTGAAAGGTCTCTTCCAGGATCTGTCCTAAGAGATCCATGGTGTAAATTCACAATCATGACCTGTATGTCCAAGCATTTAATCTGGGGTTTCCCAGCTCATGGTCATGCTGGGCTGAAGCATCAGCACATTAGAATGAATGTTAAGCTCAAGGTCTCGACAATCTGTAGGGAAACTGGATTCTGCAAACATAAACTTGTGTGCTACAAATGTATAAGCAGCAGTACCATAGTCTTAGCAAATATAACAGACCACTCATCAGTCAGTAGCATGAGGCTGATGAGAACAGGGTAATTTTTCTGAAATATATTACAGAAATGCTATATGGAAGGCACTGGAAATATTTAACTTCTACTCAGCACTGATCAAACTTGCTGGTGTCTTGCCTGCGGCTCTGAAAAGGAAGTGAAAAATTAAAATGGACAGAATGCAAAGGAGAGCAATCAAAATGATAAGATTTTTGGGGAACACAAAAGATGGCTGAATACAAGACAGTATGGACATATTTACATGGCAAGTGGTAGCTGTGCTTGAGTTAGGGCTTCCAGTCACAGAGCTGAATGTCCTGAGCCAATTGCTTCTACAGTTGCAGACTAAGGGCAAGTGGTCCCCCTCATGTATGAATACCTGTGCCCAGAAAGCCAGCAAACTAGAGTATGAAAAAACGAGGAGTTCTTTTCTTCATTATTTAAGGACTTTGGCCTATGTTGTTGTGTTTTTCAGTTAAATGAAGATGAAGGAAAATGGTGATAGGCATCAGCACCCTCTTCATCATGCCACAGTTTTTGTAAAGAAATCAGAACTTAAAAAGCCTGATCCTCATATGAGTCAATTGCAAACTCTTGCTGCCTTAAAAATTGAAGACTGTCAGATTGAGCCCTAAGTGAGCTGTGTGCTCAGAGGGGACAGGCTTCTTCAATGCATGACTTAAATAGATGAACTAATTAGTTTGAGGGGGTAGAAGACAAGTTAGCTATAGTCAGTCAGTGAATCTTGATGCTAAGACAGTGAGGGAATGAGAGCGGGTAGGGTGAGGACATGAGAGGGAGAGAAGGAAAATGCCCTTGAACAGGAGGGCAGCCTACTTTTGCACTGTTTATCCTATTTTTTAATTTCTGGTTTTACAGGCTAAACTAAAATGTTGAGGACAGAAAATGAAAATGCAAATTCAATTTGTTACTTTACTCTGCTTTGAATGACATAAAGAAAACCACTCCATGGTGTTATACCTTAGCTGGAAGTTGTTAGGAAGTAAACCTACCCACAAGCATTAACAATTATTTTTCTATCCATGTTTAAAAAAAGGACAGAAAAATATTACATCTCCATATTTCAAAGTGGTCACAAAGTTTGATACTTGCAATTCAAGCACATACAAATTGGTAGCATTCAACTTGTGCCTCATGGCTTCGGTCAAGTGTTTTAATGTCTGTGTTTCAATTTTCCTTGTATACAAGTGGGTCTGACAGTTCTTTACATGATCCAAAATCACCGCACTGATGTGTATTGTCTATTCTGCTGCTATTTATAAACTTTGGTATGTGTGATCCAAATAAGGATCAGTTTTTCTCAGCACACAGATTAGATTTTTCAAAGGAAGCTTCAGATTTAAGCACAAAAATGAAAAAAAATTGAAAAAATATTTCAGATGATCCTGAAAAATTCAACCTTGTTTCTATTTGATCTTTTCTAAACCAACAGGTAACAAGCGGATAAATTTCAAAACAAGTTGCAGTATTATGCAGAATGAAATTAATGTTAAAATTACTACCTTACTTCATTGAGCACAGGATTGCATTTTTGTACATAAAAAAACTAGCTGCTTCCATTTAACAGTCTTACATCAGTCCACACACTTCATCATTGTGACAACAAATCTAGTGCAGAACAATTCCAACTGCAAGAATGATTTTTTTCCCGCCTAGGTAATCACCCTAGCTACAGCAATCAATTCTACAAGTCTGGATGGCAATGTAGGTCCCTTCTACTTGAGCTATTAATATTCTAACCAAATTTTAAAAAATTATGCTACATGTTTTATGCAACAAACAGCATTTAAAGAAGTATTAAAGACCAATGGAGAAGATTCTCCAGTAAAACATACAACAGAACTGAACTTTGGCTAATATACTGCTGGGTTAGGTACAAGTCACCACCATGAGCAGAATGTGTAGCAGTGTTGTCAAACCTAAACATCAAAGAATGGATGAGTCAAAATGGTGCATCCCAAGTTGTGAAATTTGCTTTAAATTCCTGAGTTTTTAAAAAGGAAATAAATTCTTTCTGTATATCATTGGGTTTTTGAGCTTTCAAAATGTACTCCTCGCAGTTGCCAGATTTTTTTCCTGCAAGTGGGCTATCCCAATTGTACTGGTCCAGTTCATATTTTAAAGGAAAGCTGATACTGGTTTCAGGATGCTTTGGGAAGCTGAAGGTAGTCACCAGCAACACTGAAACTGATAGGAGACAACTACATGCTAGCCCTGAGATCTGCAGAGCATCTACTCTTCAAATGTCAGTGTTTCATGCAAATGCTGAAGCACTCATTTAGATCCTACAGAACTAAAGGTCTAAGTACCTGCATATGTTAACCCTGGCTTATCCCAAAACTAGGCCTAAATATATCTGTGTTTAGTCATATCCTTTATTTCATCCTCCATCCCCATTCCCATGACCTGCAAAACTGGAAAAAGACAGTGTTTTTATAGAACACCTGCCATCCTCTCTGTAAGCCGCCTCATCTTGTTCCAGTCAGGAGGTCAGATGTCCGTAGGGGACAACGCCAAGGGAGATGTCTCCCTTCCCATTCTCTTCCGAAACCCGAGCCCACATCCCCCTCGCGGCTGGCTCCCACCACACGACAACCCCCAGCAATCAGCCGGTGGTGCCCGGCGGGAGCACGAGCTGTCGCTGTCCCTCTCTCCGTCCCCTTCCCTATACCTGCACCCTCCCGTTCCCTCTCCCAGCCCTGCACCCTCCCGTTCCCTCTCCCAGCCCTGCACCCTCCCGTTCCCTCTCCCAGCCCTGCACCCTCCCGTTCCCGTCTCCGCCCGGCCCCGCCCCGTGCCCTGTCCGTGCCAGCAGCGCCCCCTGGCGCCGTGAGGGAGAGGGAAGCCTGGCCTCGCGCGCTCCTGAGGGCGGCGCACGCGCAGCCTGCACGCGGAGCCGCGCGCCTGCGGCAGCGAGGGCGCGCGCGTTGCCGGGCGACGGCGGCCGGGCGGCGGCGCGGGCCCGATGCGGCGCGGCCGGGGATGAGGCGGCGGCAGCGGCCCCCGCGCTCCCGCCGGCGCTGAGCCCCGCGCCCGCACCCTCCCCCTTCCCCCTTCTATCGCGTTCCGCCCTGGCTCTGCTCCTCCACGCCCCCTCCTCTCCCATCGCTCCGGCCGGCCCTTCCCCCTCCATGCGGCGGGAGCGGCCGGAGTGGGGCCCGTGCCGCGGCCGCGCCGAGCCCCGCCGTCCCTCAGCTCTTCGCCGCCAGATCCCGCAGGGAGCCGCGGGCGTTGTCTGCAGCGACAACAGCGGGTGAGGCCCCGGCCGGGGGCGGCGGGCGCTGAGGGCGGGCGAGGGCGGCTCGGAGCGGGGGAGCGGTGGAGCCTCCCAACCCCCCCGCGGGGTCCGCGCGGTGTGGGGGGCGGGGGAGAGCGGTGGGGCGCCCCCTGCCGCCCACCGGGCGCGCTCCAGACCCGGCGGCAGCCGCGGCGCGGCCGTGGGGCCCTGCCCTGCTCGGCGGCCCTGCCCAGCTCGGCGGCCCTGCCCA